GTATATAGTAGACATTTTATTTATCTGAGTGACATTTGAGGGCAATTTTGTAGGCCAGGTTGCCTTTGTTGGCTTAGTAGACTTTGACCATTGGTTGAATTTTTGACCCTTGCACCTCAGTCAAATTAAAAATATTTCCTTGATTTTAAGGCAACCATATAAATCAATTAGCACACTTCTTGAATGCTCCATAAAAACTCCATGAACTTTTTGGTTTTATGTATCTGATACGCCTGCCTTTAACATTTGTAATGCTTGTGAAAAAAGGGGTTTCTTGGTCTGACTTGAGGGGGCTACAAAAAACTTTGTTACCCATGTGGTCCTCATACACATCCTTCCCACAGTCAGAAATCTAACCATCTGGGCCCTTAACCTTTCCTCGTGACATCATCATCACCCTCATTAACCAGGTCAGAACCATTCAGCACGACTTTATCTATAGTCTGAAATACTCTCAGTGCACAGTTTGAGTTTCTTCTGCATGACAGCCTTGTGATATGTTTATCTGGTATCACATTTTCACCAGGCTTTGATAAGAAACGTGTCTTACGTTGCTTTTATCAATACAAATTATCGTCCGCTTACATAAGTGTTCAGACTTGTTTTGATAAATCACAGCCTGACGATTTTTTTTAACTCAGGTTGTTTTACAAGATAAAAGAAGACTTTGCTTTAATAAGATTCTTTATGGCTGATCATTTTAAAAGATTTCTTTCCGACAACTGCACTGTGATAGTTTTTTTTAGTTTCTTACACTCACTTTTATCAGTTAAAGCTAAGTGACTTTAGAAAAAAAATACATTGTTTTAGGGCTAACTTTTTTACCCATCTTCAGGCTGCATCTCAGGTAACAGGTAAAGTAGCTGTTCTTTGCAGTTTCAAGCCAATACTATTTGCCTCGCATGTAGTGAATACACTTAAATGACAGGCACTGCATGTTAATTTGACAAAACTGCAGTGTGTGTGTGCATTTAGTTCACAATGTTGCTGATTGTAGTTAGTTGTTTCATTGCGTACATTGAAAATGTTTTCATCATGATAGAAAAAGTTTAGAAGAAGAATAAAATGACAGCAGCAGAAGGGAACACAGTCAAAGTTCTGAACATGAACCACGGGATCCTTCTTTATATCATGTTCTCTATCATCTGTTGATAGGAGCAGATTCCCTCATCTTCAGCCATGGCAGATACCTTAACTGTTTCCAAGTCAGATCTGGTGTGACACGGTCTGACTTCTGTGACGTAGATGTCACGTTGACACCATGGCTCTGAGCTACATAGGCAGCTTGTTACTCCTTATGTTATCTTTCTTCTTGAGGCAGGGATCTCAGCTGGAATCTGGAGCTTCTCCAGCTTTAGATGAGATGCTGTGGGAAGCAGGAAAGACTATCAGAAGTAATTGTTAACATTAATTAGTGGCTTGTCAAAATGTCAATTTTAATTGTCATTTTGCTGACCATCAGGAAACTATAATATAGTGTATAGCACTGTACATTAATCTTTTAGCCAATCACCTAAAGAGTCACATCTCCACCCAGCTGAAAATGCATGGTTTGCCAGATTGTTCCGTCATTCTTCTTCTGGTCCACTTTGAAAACTATCTGTACAGTAAAGCCTCACGATTGTCACTTTAAGGTAAAAAAGACAGACCACAGCTCCAACCTGTAAGAAAAAAAAACAAACCACTTTTTTATCATGTTAAAAAAAAAGAATGTTCCCAATGAATAGGACAGTTTTGTGGTGGGGGACGACATCAAAAAGGTAATGCTGAGGTCACTCCTTTCAAGAGCGTCTTGCTTCCATTCTCAATTGCACTGGGAGTGATACCTTTTTCTAATCTTCACTCCATCAGCCTCCTCTGCTCAAGCCTCCAATTGTTTCCACCACTGGGGGGGGGGGGATATGAAGAAGAAAAGCATGCATGAAATTGCATGTGATATGCACAGGCACACACAAAAGAGCACAGCCCCCATGTTGGGCTTCTTTTTTGGGTCCTGATTCTTAACAGGGCTGAGCAATCGCACCTGAATGAGTCATCAGCAGTCTGATGACCAAAAGAAGTGCAGCCGAGAGGGGATAAGAGAATAGGGAATAGGTGTTTCATTTTTCCTGGAGCTCCGAGAGAAAGGAGGAAAGTAAGAGAGTCAAAGTTTCTGGAATAAAATTGAACATGTAAAGTCAACCTGACCTTGTGGAACGCTGGTTGTTCGTTAAATTTGATGCAAATGAAAGAGAAAATGCTTCAAATTGTTGTCCGGTGATTTCAGTGCAGGCTTCAAAGCTCCCAAAGTACTGTGACATTATTGCCATTAATCTATTTAAATGCATCCAATCTTCTGTTCTTCTATAAGATTAAGAGAAGGTTAGACAGAGTGTGGAAGGCTGCATGAAGGGATAAAGGTTTATCAGATTTTGTGAGATTCAAACCTTGTAAAGGTTCCCATAACTCTGTTGTTCAAATATGATGAACACTGTGTGAGCTGAGTCAAAAGTGTGAAGAGTGTTCAGAACATGGAGGTGAGTTTGGGAACTGAGTGGCACTCACCCACCGAGTATAATCCAGACATCTTCCCTATGTGTTCTCAGGTGGGCTGAGTCTGAATGGTTGTCACGTGCAGTGCAGTGGGTCAGTGTGTGTCATTCTGTTCATGTGGTAAA